GGTGTCACATTTTGGAGATTCCACCTCGTTTTCACTGGCACCGGTGGTTGCTTCTGTTTGGCGAAAGCTAAATCTGTAGGCCTCAGATTTAGCTTTCTGTTTGGCGAAAGCTAAATCTGTAGGGAACCGTCCAAGGGAATCATCCTGGGGGTGAGCACACTGGGCTTGGCCTAGTTAGCACTCTTCGAGGTCAGGAGTGGGACTGCCCATCAGACTGCAGTACCAAAGTGTTCATGGCCTAGTCCAGCCGACCCCAAGACCCCCAAAGGACTCCTGGTTCTGGTTCTGCCCTCCCCCAAGTCCTGATTCTGCTCCCCCCCCCCAACCTGTAACCCCAAGTCTAGTTGACCAGTACCCTACAAATCAGATCATGGCCAGAGGGAGGTGGAGAGCCACCAACAAAGAGGCTCCATTTTAAGCAGGACTCAAAGAAGACATCTACCATAGAATTGCTGAAGATGTCTTCTTGCATGGGGGCTGGGGTCGGGGTCTGCTGCCCCTGTCCCTGGCTTTCCTTCTGCTGATTTATTTAAAGGTGTGTCAGCACTGAGATCAGATGAGGAGCCGGCCCCTCCTCCCTGCTGACAGCGGCCATGCCAATAATTCATTTTTTAGCTCATTAGCTAACGGAGGCTGTGTGCAGTGGTCCTCCAGGGCATTGGAACGAGCTGAGGTGATCTACTGCCAGCTCCGCTGCTCTTGAACTGGCCTTCCTTAGGGAGAAGGAAAGGTGTAGCCAAGACAAGCTGGGGATCCCAGAAGCAAAACTGAACTCCAGAATAACAATTGGAGTATTTGTGCCTTGGCATCAGGGTTTCCTAGGGTGAAGGTATTAGAATATTCTCATAAAGCAGAAACCATTTGTCACATGCTCACTGTGCAGAAGCCTGGAGAGAGCAATGGGGAAAGATGGCTCCGCTTATGTCACACAATGCCTTAAGTAAAGCAACTTTTATCTCTTGGTTTTGGAGACTGGAAATTTGAGATCAGGGTACCTGGTAAGACCTGTCTTCCTAACTCATGGAGAGAGAGACACACAGAGAGAATCCAGGTGTCTCTTATATGGACATCTGCCCTTGTGCATCAGGAGTCTACCATTATGGCTTCATTTAATCTTGACTACTTACCTTTCATGTCCAGTCACATGGCGGGGGGTGTGGTGCGGAACTGAAGCTTCAACATACAAATTTGTTGGGGGGAGCAGTTCAGCCATAACATCTAGGAAGCTTTAGACATTTCCAGAGCCAACCAGATTGGCCCCTGGCCTCTGACAGCCTCAGGGTCATTCAGACCAGCCAAGCACTGTGTCTGTGGGCCCTGTGAACCCTTGGAGGGGGGGACTCACAAGACAGCATGGGCTTGTTGGGACTAAGAGCAGACTACCTCCCCATGCTGAGCACATTGATTCGTGAGACCCTCCCATGTACAGGCAGTCAGTTTAGAAACCTCAATGTCCAATAAGAGTCTGGGCAGGCCAGCAACATGTCACAGCACCTCTGATACACAGGCCACCTCCATTAGTGAGCCCTCCGTGCCTGGCAATGACCTTGAGTGATTAGAACACCAGTACTGTTTACAAAAGGCTGGCTGTGCCACCACATGGTTCACACGTATGATCTCTGATCCTAAAATAGCTTACCTGGAATAGACAATGCCAGACCCATTTTACAGATAAGGAAACAAGGGCCCAAGACATTATGGGGAAGACAAAAGTGTCCACGATGGTCTTCCATGAAGGAGAAAAATGCAGGCACTGAAACCCTGTTGTCTAATGCCAAAGAACACAGCCTCCAAGCCCAGCATGAATGAGATTTTCCATCCTTTTCCATCCCTATGGCCACTGGAGAAAGCACCTAGAATCGGGCACTAGGGCACATTTGTCGGGGTGGGAAATGGCCACAGGAGGCAGGTTCTAAATAAGAGGAAGTGGTTAAGTATGAATGAGAGCTGCTTTATGAGCGCCTGCAAAACCCCACTGCCTTCATCTGGGCTGGCTTCATCCTAAGTGGATTTCAGCTGCTCAGAACATCCATGTCTGATGTAGACACACAGAGCCAGTGGCCTCCTTTAGCTTTCTGGCCACTTCCTGGTGTCTGACAGTGTTGAAATATTGTGGTCCCAAGGATGTAGACGTCAGCACCAAAAGCTTCTGTCCTGAAAAGGCACACAAAGTTTCAGTAAAGAACCATGATTCCTTCTGATGATAATACCCACACACTGAGCAGCTCCTGGGTATCCTGGGAGGCAAATGAAGGGCCACATGGATGTGGTGCTGGGAGAGGCAGACCCTGCAGAGAAGTCTGAAACTTGGCACTGATCTCCTTGCAGTATTCCTAGGTGACAGCTACCAATGTCTAGCCATTTTCTGTCACTAGAGGAGAGACTTAGCATTCTAACAGTAGTCCCATGTCCTACCTCTTACAGTCACCATGAAGCTCAGGAAGGTTGAGCCTGGGAGCTCTTCCCTTGTACAACCCTCTCCCAGACCCCCTTCCTAATTTCAGGTACCTAATGCTAAGACCTTTCTCTGGAAGAAGTTTCCCAAAATGGTTTACATCCTCACCCTGCAGAGCCTGCCTTGACCTTTCTTCTGATCCTGAAAGCAAAGAACAGATTTCTAAAAGAACAGTTTATTCCACTGGGCACTAGTGTCAGCAAATTCAGATGAGCTCCCAGGGGAAGGGGCGGGTGACCACATTCACGGATAGGAGTCACCCCACAGATCCTGGAAAGCATATGGACCAAGGCAGAGGGCTCAGGTCTTGTGCTCAGCCTTTGGCTAGGATATTTGACTATTAAAAAGAAAATTTAATAATTGTTCCTATGTTAAGTTCTCCAGTTTATGGCTGGGTGATTTGGCAATGACTATTAAAGTCACCTGGAGCAGAGTAAGAGTCTGATTTTAATGACAAAATTGAGAGTTAGCAAATTGGAACTTGAAAATCTGGACATATCCCACACTTTCATCCTTTTTCATTTAATTCTCAGCTTGCTCTTTGTCTTTTGTGATTTCTGAAACACATCAATATTGTTTATAAACAAGGTTTTCAAACACTCACAGAACCACCACCAGATTTTGTCTTTTTTCTTAACTGGTATTTCCCGGACGTCGTAGCACTTTTGTGCCTGTGATGCTTCCCAAGTGGGGACATGTGTGAGGGCTCCCCCTCCGTTTGTGGGTGCCAGTCGGTCCAAGTGTTTGTCCTGGAAATCTCTGAATGAAAAGAGTCGGGGGTCACTCTTGGGTCACTCGCATGTACCAGGAAGTGAAGCAAAACTAATCCAGATTTACTCCTGGAAGAATCTGTTTGGCTAAGTATTTAAAAACAGATCAGGGCTAACCCAACACTAGGTCGCTGTGTGCAGTGTAAACACGGGTAAAAGGTGTAAACAAGCCTCTCTCTGTGCTTCAGAAGCAGAAATGTGGTAATGAGTTTTCTTTCTAAACTGGCAAGGGCCTGAGCGATTCCTCCGTGCACCTGGTAGCTGTGTACCCTGATTATTGCCGGGAGAGATTTCTAGATTTTAGAAGAGGTAATTGTGAGTCAGAATCTCGCTGCAGTCTGTTAGTAATTACAGTCTCTTCATGCAGCAGTGCTTTTCTTTATTTCTTTGTCACCCTCATAAGGAAGACTGTGCCCAGACCTCACGGAGCATACTATAGGCTACTAACAAAATTTCAAGAGTTTCTTATAAACTCTCATACCGTTCTTCTTCCATGTTTAGCCTCCCCCCTCCTCTTCCCTCTCTAGCAGTGCTGCAAAGTCTGGAGGATAACCAAGTTCTCAATGTCTCTCCCATTTTTTGAGAAACCAAACCCAAAACCCTCCATTCGGAGCCTAGGAACAGCTCCCCTGGGGGCCTGTCTTTGGTGTCAGTGGAAACACACTTGACTGTGGGGTTTTTCTTCCTTCCTCAGTTTCACTCCTCACCCTGCCCCCTCCTCGGTTTTTCTCAGCCTCTTTCCTGATGATGTGGTAGGCGGGGCCCCATCCTCTTTAGGGAGGAGACTCCATTATGACACCCACCCAGCTCTGGATGCTCCTTCTCAGCTCGCCTATGGCCCAGCTGCTACCATCTTAGGTCTCCACACCCCAGAGTCTGCCCCACCTCATCCCTCCCCAGCTTCACCCTATCCTCAGCCTCTGTCTGCTCTGACCTCAGAGGCCACCTGCCTCTCCTAGGCTGGGCCCTACACACGTTCCCTCAGAAACCCAGCTGTTCTTTGTTGTTGAAGGAATTCTTGACATTCTGCCACCCCTTTAGCCTCTTCCAAGTCTCTGAAGAGATCATGAAAGTACCAGAATCACTGAGCCTAGCTTGTGACTTTCCTAAACTTCTGTTGGAGTCCACCCTTCCTGTATAGTTCTACTACAGTTTCCTTCAGCTGGAAGTGTTGGGAGATGCTGGAGAAGTCACATGTATCTGCCACCCCAGGGGGCAGATGAGTTTAGAGCCAAGAGCTCAGTCACCCACAGATGGAGGGACCCACCAGCTGCCCTCCCCCATACTCTGCCCAGTGTCCCTCAGTTATGCCTTGCAGTTTCTCTGCATCCTGAGCTCTTAGTGTATGGAGTCAGTCTTTACCTTCTGCCAATCCAGGCTTCAAGGCATGAGAGCCACCAATCTAAGGCCCATGGCCTTGATGTCTTTCTTCACTGCCACAGCTCATGCAAGTGAAAGAAACCAAGTGAGCTCTCCAGGTGTGGCCCTTAGAGCTCTGGTTTTCACACTGCGAGGGACAGGAATCTCTGCAAGGCTTGTAAAAGCACCCCCAGAGTTCCATTTGGGTAGGGCTGGGAAATTTGCATTTCTAGAAAGTTCCTAGGTGGCAGGTACTACAGGTGAGGACACCCCTTTGGGAACCATGGATGTACCTTTTTTCAAGAGCTTCCCTGTGCCAAGTGGAGACCCTCATTTGCTCCTGACCATGAAGGCCTGCAGGACGGGGTTGCAGCCTCAATTCTCATGCCCACTGTGACCACACCTGTGTCTTGCAGGGAAGAAAAGGAGCGGTGGATCCGAGCCAAGTATGAACAGAAACTCTTCCTGGCCCCGCTGCCATGTACCGAGCTGTCCCTGGGTCAGCACCTGCTGCGTGCCACTGCCGATGAGGACCTGCGGACTGTCATCCTGCTGCTGGCCCATGGCTCCCGGGATGAAGTGAACGAGACCTGTGGGGAGGGAGATGGCCGCACGGCACTGCACCTGGCCTGCCGCAAGGGCAATGTGGTTCTGGCACAGCTGCTGATCTGGGTAGGTGGCGGGCATGCCCATCGTGTGTCCCGCACAGGGCAGAGCCGCCATGGACTCTGTCCACACTGCTCTGCTTTCTTGAGCTTCTGTCTAGTAGAAGCTCACTGTGACCAGTCTGAAATGGGAACAATTCCTAATAGGGAATTCTTATTCAGTGCCTGAAGTGTGATGACCCCTACCATTTAGACTCACCTGGGTGAGGGTAGAAGACAAAGGGGCACTGGGAAAGGTGGAGAAGAGGAAGAAAGGAAGCCCATGGAACGTCCTCCTTGCGTAGGAACCAGGTGATCTTTGTGGAGCATTTGCCAGGGGTTTTGAAAGTTCATCTTTTTCCTTTTTCATGGCCCCAGAGGTTACGCATGATGAATGGTGATCTTGATTTTCATTTTCATCATCTTTTTGGGGACTTGGGTGAGTGTACAACCTCAGTGGTTGATAGGGTTCCCCATTTGGTGTCTTTATTTACATAACACAAAAATACTAGACCCTAAGCTTGGAGGTTTGATGTGTTGGGAGTTTGTGAAAGGGCTTCCTGTGGACTATTTTTGTTTTGTTTTGTTTTTGCAGTACTGAGGGTTAAACCCCAGGCCTCTGTGTGCCAGGCACTTGCCTGTGTTGTTGTTTTTTGTTTTGTTCTCAGTTTTAGTTTTGGGTTTTTGGTGGTACTGGGGTTTGAACTTAGGGCCTTGTACTTGCTACATAGGCATTCTAGCACTGGAGCCACACCTCCAGCCATTGTTTTTGTTTTTTAACTGAACACTAGATGGTGATCATTTCATCATTAAAATTTACTCAGAAGCATGGCTCATCATAGCCATCTGTATGGTGCCGTATGAACTCTTCACATGAGCACAGTCACCTGTCGTAGACACAGTGCTGTGTCGCAGATCACTCCCGTCTTAGGAGCTCTGACCACTGGACTGAAGCTTAGGAGGGGAAGATGCAAGTTCTTGTTCCTGAAATGGTGGGCTCACGCCTACTTTATCTCACAGCGTTTAGGGTCGCCACACACATGCATCTGTAGGAATACTGCTGCTGAAGGATTTTGGACTAATGTGCTCCCCTCTCCCCTAAATTGCTATGTGCAAGTCCTAACCACCAGTACTTTAGAATGTGACAGCGTCTGTCCCATTTGAATATGACTGGTGTCCTTATAGAAGAGACAACTGGGATGCATGCACAAATTATTTCTATAGTTTTTCTCTACATTACATTCAAAGAAAACTCATTAGAAAGGTCTGGGGGTGTAGTTCAGTGGTTCAGTCCTCTGCACTAATAAAAGGAAAAAAAAAAACCCTCAGAAAGATACACTGAATGTTATCTCTGTGTAGTGAAATTATAGGCTATGTTTTCTCTTGTGTTTACCTATTTTCTACAGTGAAAATGAATTGCCTCTGAGATTGTTTTTTAAGTGATTCTTTTTTCTTTTTATAATTAGAAAAGCAAAGTAGAAATAGCAGAACTAAAGTCATCCCTGTCATGTTTCCATGACACCAAGGGAGCCCCAGTGGTTTTAACACGCGTCTGTCGCCTCCACAGTACGGGGTGGACGTCATGGCCCGAGACGCCCACGGGAACACAGCGCTGGCCTACGCCCGGCAGGCCTCCAGCCAGGAGTGCATCGACGTGCTGCTGCAGTACGGCTGCCCGGACGAGCGCTTCGTGCTCATGGCCACCCCCAACCTGTCCAGGAGGAACAACGGCCGGAACAACAGCAGCGGCAGGGTGCCCAGCATCATCTGAGCACGAGCCGCTGCCCCACCCCGGGCCCCAGTCGCTGCCCGCCCTCGGGAGCCACAGCACGTGAGTCCCGTTGTGTCCCCTCCCTCTTCCTGGTGGTCACCTTCTGCCCGCCCACCCACTCACCCCACAAGAAATCTCCCAACTGCGCATCCTCAAGGGCATAGAGGAGACCAGGAGGCTGCAAGACCCGATTCCTTTTCACAAACTCCTAAAGCGACACAGGAGAGACGACGGGCCTCGGCTCTTTGATGAAAGCACATGGCCGGCCCTGCGAGGGGCCCCTGTCCTGGTGGCCTGGAGACAGAGGGCAAGACAGACAGGCACGAGAGGGGGAAGGGAGGCGAGGAGCAAAGAGAAGGGCAACTTCCCCTAGCTGGCAGTTAAGCACATCAGTACATTTCACCTCCACCGAATGGAGCACTTGGATTTCATCTCTTCTCGGAGGAGCTTGACGGCGTAAATCAGGAGCAAGCACAGAGTTTGTCAGGTCTGAAGCCCCTATGATGGTATGTGTCAAATCAGTTGTATCTAATCTGTCCGGGGAGAATACTGGCTTCATTACACTTGTATAGTTGAGTTCTTCCGGCATTACCGCTGTTTAATAGAAGGTGATTAGTCATCACCGAGAAGAAAGCCGAGGAGGTAGTTAGGCGCACGCTCCGGTGATTGCCACGATGTGATTGCAATACTCTTACAAGCATCATATTATCCCAGACATGTTCTTTCGAGCCCTTGGAGCCCTCCTTTCTAAATTCACTGTCATAATTTAGTATCTGTTTAATTTTTCAGTCCAAAGAGAGGAAATCAGTTGCTGAGTAGTATTTGACTGCAGTCTCCTTGGTGCAAAAACAAAATGGAAAAAATAAATAAGAATAACTTGGAAAATCACAAATTCAACTGGCAATGGCTTCCTCAAGTGTGTTCCGTAAAATAAGTAGATACATAAAAAGCTATTTTTCCCCCTCAAATGTTAAGACAGATTTTCTGTCCTTTGACCAAGGTGGATGTGTGAGGCTCGGCCCCTCCTGGGCCACATGGCCCCATTACCCAGTCTTAGGTCCTTAGACAAGATGTGTGAAAATGTATTGGAATAAAAGATATGCATTGATTTTTGTACAGACACATGGCACCTCTGTTCATTTATAAATTGAACTGGATGTGAACTAATAATGTGCAACTAGTTGAGATAAGAGAGTTCCAGATCACTGTACATGGAAATATTCCCAGCAGTAAACACTTCCATTAATGTGATACACAGCTTTTAAAAAGGAACACATCAGAGTAAGATAGTAGGACAATTTGCTTATTAAAATCAAGAAAGGAAAAAAAACGAAGACACTGGAGCTGTCAGAAGTGGGGGGAAGGAGCTCATGATTCCTCATCCTCTAAGGCATGATTTAGATCTGAGACCTTTTTGCTAACCAAAAACCAAGGGTTCTGGCAGGACCGGCTGGTTTGCCAAATACCAGACCAGGGTGTTTCACAAAAGCACCTTGTGAGTAGCTGCCAATGGTTCTGGCATAGCCTGGCTCTGCCAGACCTCACATTCTGGACCCCTGTTCTAGCACCAAACATGGTTTGGCACCATGGGGCTCAGGGCCATTTCAGACACCTGCCGTCTTCAGCATGGTAGTCAGACTAGCAAACTAAATCATGACATGCTTAGGTTAAAAAAGAAAGGGGCTTCTGGGTGCCAGTGGCTCATGCCTATCTCACACCTGTAATCCTAGTTACTTGGGAAGCTGAGATCAAGAAGGTTGAGGTATGAGGCCAGCCCAGGTGAATAGTTCAAGAGACCCCATTTCCAAAATAACCAGAGCAAAATGAACTGGAGGTGTGGCTTAAGCAGTACAGCACCTGCTTTGCAAGAGTTCAAGCCCCAGCCCACCAAAAAAAAGCCACTTTGCTAGAACCCTGTAGCAGTGTGACAGGGAAAGAACGGTGGTCACTTTAAAAGACAGGATACCAGGCAGATGTAGCAGAGCCCAGGAATGCAAAGCCACATGCACCTGGCAGCCTCCAGACAAGTTCCTTACTCTCACATATTGAACCTTATATTTTGTAAGAGTTTTTCCTCATTTCACTTTTTAAAAAAAAAAAAAAGGTGGGGGGAGGAATAAAGCTTTATGCAGAATTTGTATGTGAGTAAGTGTTTCATGGAGATTTGTAATCTTAATTAAGCTCAGTGAAACTGACCAGTATCCAAAACTATCACAGGTGTGGAAGCCACAATTCCAAGAACCTCAACCACAGGTTCATAATCCCTCCATTCAGTTTTTAATTCTGCGTATCATCACTGTGCAGTTATTTTAAATGTGAATAGAGAAAAAAATGCCAATGCCTATTTTTGAAGAATATACTACCATCCATCTAATCCTGCTGCCACATTCACCTCAATGTCGCCTTTATGGTAGACTTTCTGTAGAGAACACGAATAGAGTATAAATGAAACTCTTAAATTATTTCATTGTAGTTAATTCCCACTATAGGAATGCTTTATCACAGTGGAGCCTTCTTTTGAAAAGAAGTGGATTTCTTTATAAGGCTTCTCTTCGGGATGTATATGAGTGTGTACATATTATTATATGTGTTTATAATATAATATTTTCCCAACTGACTTCTTGTTTCACTTCGCCTTCCGCAGTCTGAGTGCTCGATTGGTCTTTCCCCTTCCCTCCCTCCATCACTGGGATGTCCCTGACTCCTCAGAAAACAGGGCCCCTCCCCTGCCATCCTTAGCCACGTTGACCTGCTCCAAGAGCCTCCCACTTTCTTGAGCCCACGTTTTGGCAACAGATAGAAAGGTGATAGTGGGGTTTCAGGAGTTTTCTGTTCAGGTAAGAGAGTGGTGGCTAATTTGTTTGCATTTCAACATCACAACCTGAGGACCTTCTTGCTCCTGTTTTAGAGCTCACCTAACACTTAGGCTGGGTGAGGCAAGGGCCAAGGGCCAGTGTTAGAAGTGAGCAGTGTGAAGAGGGTTGAATTTTCATGGCTCATTTCCATGTTCCACTCCATGAAGTGACTATGACATGAGAAGCCACCACTGCAGAATCCATGTGACCATTTCTGTCCAGAACGAACATTCTCCCTTGATGAGAAGACGCCAGCTGGGGAAGGCCCATGAGCAGGCCATCCTTATCAGGATGGCTGTGGGTGATCTGGATGTTTTCCCACATCCAGGCAGCCCCATCATTCAGCTGGCAGTGGCTGAACTGGGAAGTGGCCAAGGAAACCCTGCAGGGAAAAGAAGTGGTAATGCTGACCCCACGTTGAGCATACCTCAAGGACCTGGGTGGGCAGGTGATTACCAAGCACAGTACTCCAGTCCTTGTGGTTCTGGGACATTAGCAGCTTGGGGGTGAGCAAGTGACAAGTTTACAAGTCCATGGCCCTGCAAGCAGGGGCAGTGTCTTGTCTCCCAGTGAGGGTACATGTGTTTTGGCAGCCCAGAAAGGCAGGCGAGCTGGCTCTTACTGAATCACTGTTTTCCTTTGTGATGCTGAGAATCAAATTGCACATGGTAGCCTCTGCCACTGAGCTACACCCCCAGTCTGAGTCATTCTTGCCCGTGGTTCTTAAGAAAGCATGTTCTCTACAGGCCTCCAATCTGTGGGCTGGTCTTAGGCTCTTTAGCACAAGCACAGGTCTCATATATCAACCGAGATATGTATGGCCCAGCATGATGAGATCTGTTTGGATCCGTCCTCTGCCTTGAAGTGTAGCCACCAGTCTTCCCATTCTTCTGATATGTGCACACATGAGGTCTTCATCACCTATGTCTGCATGGGAGCTGTTACTAACTTACAGAGAGAAACACGGTTCAGTGGCAAGGAGAGCAGCCCTGAGTTCACCGACTCTACCTACCATACCACCAGAGGCTCTACGTGCAGCTTTGCAGGCTCCCAGCTGGGGCAGGGGGAGGGCTCTCCTCCCCAGGAGGTTCGCTGGGTGAAGTGACGTTTCAAGCCAATAGAAGTGTCAGCATCACTCCTGGCCAGGGGATACATGCTCAGGAAATGTAAGTGCTTACTAAGAACAGAAACAAAGAGCTGAGGTGTAGGTCAAGTGGTAGAGCACATGCCTTGTAAGCACAAGAACCTAAATTCAGTCCCCAGCACAACCACAAAATATCAGAGCACACACCTAGACACCTGCCCCCAGCTGACCCTGTGAGAACACAGTGTCCTGGGAAGGCAGTGATGGGACATACATCAGGCCTCTGCAGATGGGAGACAGCATCAGAAGATGGGAGCCCCTCTCGAGCCTTCTGCTGCTCAAAATGCCCCTTCATTTTTTCAGTCTGGTTTTCTAGAACAAAGAAGGGAATGAGCACTGGCCTCCTGTCATTCCCTAGTGTTGTCTAGGCCCAAGATGACCCTCTCACCTCTACCCTTGGACTTCAGTTATCAGCTCAGAAGAGCTTCCCTTGCCTTGTGGTCACCCAAAGCCTTCCAGGGCACACACATGTATTGGTTCCTATTTTGGTGCCCTCCTCCCCATTCTTTTAAATATTGGAGCTTGCTGAGGGCACCTGGGTGTCCCTCTAAATGAGTTGGTGCAATTGGCCAGCAGGTGTCTAGCTTGCAAAGTGAGTGCCTACCTTCCCTGTCAAGGCCCACAGCCAGCTTGTGTCTGAACTTGGTGAAAAGGGGGACCTGCTCAGCAGCCCCATCTGAGTGGTGCTCCTTGGTGCCATAGATCCCACTCTTTCTCCCTGCATTTAGGGTGTTCTGGGCATGAGAGAGGGAGTCCATATCTCTGCCTAGGAAAGTCGAAGCCCAGCAAGAACTGACCTTCTAAGAGGAGGTATGATTGAGACTCAAGAACTTCCCAGGAGGCAAGGATGTCTGGAAAACAAATCCACCTCTCGTAACACCCCTCCCCCATCCACTCTGTCTCCATCCCCCACCCCCCACAAGGTCACTGAGACTTTTCTAGAACTCTCTTGGGTTGTATTTATGGCCTTCAAGCAAACAAATTTAAAAAGTCAGGAAAGAATTCAAATAGAAATGTGCCAGAGACACACATCTTTCTTTCAAAGGGAACAGGATTTGTCTCCAGCTGCCTCCTGAGACTCAAGTTTCACACCCTCATCCTCACAGCTCAGTCAGGGCCTTTGGCATCAGTCATGTGTTCTTTTCAAGTGCATCCCTTGGATTCCAAGTGGCTCCACACCTGCCAGGCCTGGCCAGTGGTCTCAGGTGTGTGCTGGGCACACAGTAGGACCAGGAGACCCAGGTAGCCCTGCTGAGCATCCACTCTGTTCCCTGCTCCACTTTGTGTCCTGGCTGGATGGTACTTGTCATTCATGCACCTAAATTAGGTTGTTTTTCAACCAAAACGTCACATTCCTTCTAGTTACTGGGAAGAGGGAAGGGAAGGTCCAGCAACTGGGGGGAGACGATCACTGAACAGCAGTTGTCAGACATATTTCCATCACTGCCAGGCTGGACCCAAGATTCGGTGACATCCGTGGTTAGAGAAACCTGTGCCAAGCAGTTAGGGCCCATCTCTCACTCCATGGGAAACACACCATTGAGCAACTCAGACAGTAATTTCAAGACACAAATCCTCTTCCCCTTTAAGAAGTCCTGGCCTGAAATAGATCTTTTTAAAATAGTAACAGATCCCCTATTTTATTTCTATGTCTGCATTTTAAACGTGGGTTTGCATCCTGTGTCAGGGTTGATGTTAGAGGGCGTTCCATCCGTTGATGATTGTAGAAAGGTACTCTATAATCCCTTTCTGTTCTGTTCCTGTGAATTTTTACCAGTCTGCTTTCACACATATTTCAGGGTTAGAAGGGCAGCCACTACTGCCCACAGTGATGGCACAGGGAAGGTAACTGAAAACCTGTCCTCCCTGCTTTCATTGCAAGGTTTTGACAATTTTGTTACAAAACTGCAGCCTTTGGTTTGAGGTTTGCTCCTGTCTGGTAAGAATGTTCTTGTGTGAGGTCCTCCTCCCCTATGCAGGCCTTGGGGTCTGGAGGTGGGCACCTGGCACTGACATCTGCTCCAAGCAAAGGCCTTCTCGAGTGAGAGAGAGTTTGGCTCAGGGCTTGTTTTTATTTTGTCTGGCATGTGGAGTCTGCAGGGGACCCTCTGAGGTCGTGAATCAAGCCATATAATGAACTCACCTACTAAAGTCGAGGACTGATCTGGAACTCCAGGTCCAGGGAATTACATGGCCTTTGTCTTGATGCAGGTGAAAGAAAGGAACCAAGAGGTGTAAGAATATTGGAGGGTGGGGGGAGTCTTCCCAATTGAGCAAAACCCCTTAACACATGGGAACAGCCACCTCCTAGACCACATGGTACCCCAATCAGGTGCTGGACAGTGTCCACACCAGCTCAGAAAGCTAATGTTAGAGCCAGCTCTAGAACTCTTGCAAGGTAGATCACGCAAAGCATAAAGGAGCATTTGGGATTTAATGACGGTGTTCAGGTCCTTACACCACTGGTGTAGCCCAGCAACTAGGAATCTTCATTGTCCTTATGCAGAGACGCCAGTGGGGCACCCTCTGCCCCAGCATATCTGCCCCACTGGCTCATCAGGACTGGCACAGAGAAGGGACAAAGGGTGCATTGAGCTGGGGCCAGTCCAGAATTGGTGTCTACTTCCCACTCCAATGAGTGCATGGCACAACTGCCCTAAGTCCCAGCAATTCCTCCCTGGGACTGTGCTGAGGGTGCACAGAACACTTGAGTGGGCACAAGGCCATCTGGTAGTGGACAGG